GAGGAAGGAAGACGACCGACCGATTCGACGGCCCACAACATCCCAGCCAGAGCTTCCAGCGCGGCGTCGCCAAACAAACGGCAGCGACGGAAGTAGAACCCGCCCACCGAGACCGCGGCTGAAATGCATGCAGCGTCGGGAGAAAGCCGAGGCAAGGCTTCGATAACTTAAACAGGCCCCAGGATCGGGCCCACCCCCAGGACCCAGAGCCCGCTGACATGAAGCCTTCGGCCATCAGGAGGGAAAGGGGTCGGCACGGCCCAGCCTTGGCTGGCGAAGGCAGCGGAAGCCTTCCAAGGCATGGGGTCTCCAAGAACCAAATGAGCACGCTTGCCACCCGAGTCGAGACCCTCCCGGAGCCTTCTCCCTCCACGAAGCCTCGCCACGGGCCACCGCGCCCGTCTTGGCCTCGGCAACAAGGGGAGCCACGTCGACGCAAAGAAGGCCACCCCCGACTTGCATTTTCTGGCCCAGATCGCAATCGGGGGCAACTAAAACTCCCCAGCTGGCGGCACGGCGAAACGGGCCCCCACGAGCCGCCACTGCTCCCGACACGGCGGGAGGACGGGCATTGGGAGACTGCACAATGCCGACCTGCTTGCCGCCGAGGGCCCCCAGGGCCCTCGAACCTGACCTTCGAGCCACATGAGGCCTCTCCGGACGGGGCCCTCGGGGGCTTGAAAGGCTCGACGATGCGTTCCCAATGGGCCTCGACGGGCCGACCTCGGGACCCACGACGCGGCAGCTCGCCCCCAAGCAACCGATCAAGATCGAGTCTGGCCCGATCGGCCCAACGCTGATACAGCAGGGGCAGAAGAGCAACGGCGGCTTCGCCATCGCCTCGCGCAACCGCTTCCTCAGCCACATGGACCAAGCCCTGGGCAAGGGCCCAGCCATAGTCTCGCAACAGGGGGCGCAGGCCCCGCGGGAGGCGCGAGAGGTAAAGGAGGGGGCCTTTAAATGCAGAAGTTGGGGGTGGACCCCCAGGCTCACTGGCCTGCGCGGGCGCAACGAAGAGCCCTCCACAACACCGACGCTGCCGACACCTTTTCCCCGGGCCCCCCAGACAACGAAATGGTCCAACACATCGGGCGGGATTCAGAATGCAGCAGGCGGGCCCCAAACTCAACAAAAAAAACCTGGAAGGATGCGGCACCTCGGGATTGAAATTGAAATCACCTGCCAAGACGATTTGCCATCGGGGTCAATCGGGACATCCCCGGGCCAGGGCCAACGCACCCGAGCTGTTCGAGTCAAGGCCCACCGAGTGCTCCAAGTAAATCGAACACAGGCAGAAGGCGGGAGAGGCGGGCGCATGCACCAAGCGCGCCTGGACTCCGCCGCCAACCAAGTCGCCTCCTTCAACTTCAAACGCGCCGAGCCAGTCCCCAACAAGAGCAACCACCCCTGAACCGTCACCACCCTGAGGGCCAGGAATGCCAGGCATCCAGGTCGGTTTCCAGCCAAGACGCGAACAACTGGACGGGGCACCGTGAATCGCATCAGCCCTGAAGTCGGTGTTCCTGGGCCAGCAGAACATGGGCGTCGGGCTCCGGCCCCGCGATGTCCACAAGCGCGCCCCAGGAGTTGGCATTGGCAGCACAGATCGCGGGCGCCACATTCTGAGACGATGCCATGACCTGGGAAGGCCGAAAACCTGGGACCTCGGACTCTGCGCGCAACTCGGCAAGCGTCAGAGGGACAGGCCACGATTGAACAGACTCGGGAAACGGGAAGGGGCCCGCTCCCTTCGCACGTTTACTGGCAGCCCTCGTGCAACGAGCACGCATGAGCACGCAGCGGCGGCGCAGGATTTGTCTCCATCCAATCGCAAAACTCTGGAATGACGGCGTCGACTCCAGCATCAGAAACAAAGGAAGCGCGAGGCGACGCGAGCTCTGAGAGCGAGAGCGGCTCTTCGGGCCCAGCCAAAAACGCATCCTGACTCGAGAAGCTCCCCGCTGGGTCCAGCTCCAAGCGGGAACGAAATAGTTTCAGCTGAAACAGCGGAGAGATCCAAGGACTGCCCAGAAAGCCTCGCGCAAGCCAGCCAAGACACCTTGTGCGAAGCGCCAAAGACGGAAAGGGGGCGCCCTCCTGACCTGTAGAAGCAGGAGGCACCCTCACGGAATGAAGTCGCCGAAATCAAAGAGACTCGGCCACCGAGATGCGCTGCAGCTCCCCCCGTCCTATCGTTCGAGCCCTCCGACTGCCCCGCAGGGTAGGGGCTGCGACCAGAAGGGGCTGCAGCCGTAACGACAGCAACGGGGTGCGCCGCAGCTCCCCCCCCATCATTCGAGCCTCCCGGCTGCCCCGAAGGGAAGGAGCTACGACTAGAAGAGGCTGCAGCCGTAGGCCCACCAGCACGCCCTGAAGACAACGCCGAAGCCGAGGACGAACTGGCCGAAGTAGTCGAAGAGAGCCAACTGCACACACGCTGATCGCTGCTAAACCATCACGCCGCAGCAGGCACAGCGAAGGGGGATACCCCTGACAGCTCTCGCCCCGCCTGCTTCCGAATGTCCTCAGCTGGCTGGGCAGGCGGGGCAGCAGGAGATGCCGAGGAACACCTTGAGACGGTGAGCTTCCCGAACCTGCGGCTCCAGCAGCGGGTTCGTCACCGTCGGCGGCAGCAGAAGGAACTGGAGTAGCACCGCCGGCCACCACTCCCTCAGCCGTCTTCCTCCTCTTGCGCCTGAGCCTGCTCGCGTGGTCCTCACGGCTAGCTTTTGCGGCACGCGTCGAGGGCGCCGCGGAAGAGCTTGCCGGTCGGGTCCTTGATGGCGTCAGACATGGCCTTCTTGCGGTTGGCGAGCTCACGTTCGTCGTCAGGGGCGAGCTCAAATTACTCAGCTTCCTGCTGGATGCCGAAGGGACGATCAAGATTGAAGAGGGACTCGAATGAAACCTTGCCGTCGCAGAGGTACTGAGGTCCGCTTGGTGGGGCACAGTCGTGGGCGGGACCGACGTGGAACAAGCCGTGTCCTGAACAATATCTTGATTGAGCTTGTCAGCCTCGTCAAACTCCGCTTTGCACTAAAGAACTATAGCTTTCTGATCTTCTAATTCAATGAGCCACTTACACAAGTTGCCAAACTCATGCTGGAGCTTGCGCCCCTTCTTCTTGATGTCTGTCGCAACCTGCTGGGTACGCTGATGGGAAGGAATGGCAACTTCCTTGGGGGGCTGCCAACGCCTGCGCCAGCTTCTCCTAGTAACGGCAACCAGCTTCGTCACCAGCCTTGCGAGCGAGGTCAGCGATCGCGCGCGCTCCCGAGACAGTATCGTCGGACGAACACTTCAGCCATGCTGAGCACCAAAAAAATGGGGCTGCCCGCGGGATCACGGTTCGGGGGCCCCCGCGGCAACAGCGCGGCTTCTGGGGGGCCCCAGGGGCCCACGAGAGCGGGCCCGCCGGCCGACCTGCCCCCCCTCGGTGGGGAGTGGCGGCGTTTCGCTCGGGCTTCAACGCGCCTCTCCCAACCGAAGGGGTATAGTTTGGCTGGGTGGGTTGCAGAAGCTGCCCCCTTGACACCCCTGTCGGCAATTGAAGGGTTTCGCCTGCGCGTCGATGCCCCCCCCCTCCCCCCCGCGAGCATGCGCGCGGTTTCCTGACGCGTCGGCCCGTGTCGGTGCCTGCGCGCGCGCGCGGCAGGACGCCGCGCGGCCCAGGTCGCCGCCATGTGGGCTGGTTGTGTCGGTTCCGTGTGGGGGCGGGAATGGTTTCGCACTTCTCTCTCTTTTTCTCTCTCTCTCTCTCTCTCTCTCTCTCTCTCTCTCTTCCTCTCACTAATATCGAAAACGAATCGGGCGAATCACCGCCGCCCTCTGCCTTTTGGAAGCGCCCACGTGGCCAAACGTTGGGCCGACGGCTGGCCAAGCTATTGAACTATGTGCTCGAGGAGAAAAGGGATGAGGAAGAGGAGGAGGAGGCGGAGGAGGAGGAAGAGGAGGAGGAGGAGCAGTAGCAGGTGAGGAGGAGGAGTCAGGAGGAGGTCCGTAGCAATTTGGGCTCAAGTCCGTATCGTTTCGCTCAGAGGCTTGGCATTTGGCAGGGGAGGAATGCGGCCCCGCAGGCTTCCCAGGCGTCCTCCCGCCTGGCACATCTTTTCACTACGTTCTCCGTACTGCACTCTCGGGCCTCCAGTGTTTCGGTCCGAGGACACCTTCTGCTTCTTTCTCTCGTCAGCCTTGGGTCTCGTCTGAGGGTACAGAAGGCGAGCCGTGGCACGTCAAAGGTGGCGGGCGCGGAGGCAAGTTCCAAACCATCCCCTGTGCTGCATGCGGCTGTCAGAAGAACCTCGTACACTTCAAGTGGTGCAAGCACTGCAAGTCCCCTCTCCCTCACGTCGAACCCTCTGAGCCTAAGCCGCCTGGTGGTAAGTGGGCTCTTCTGGACAAGGAGTGGGACAGTGCTGGCAGTGACTGTGCTGACGGTGATTTCGGTAAGGGGCAAACGAGCGGCAAGGCCATGCGCCCTAAGATGCACACCGATTCTGGGGATGGGCGGGAGAGCTAAGCTACCCCAGCCAGGTGGGGGTGCGGATGGTTCTGCCGATGAGGGAGAGGGAGGGGGAGAGAGAGAGAGAGGGAGAGAGAGGGAGAGGGGGGAGAGAAATCTTCCTCGCCTGACCGCCAGACGTGTCCACAGGGCGGGCTGGGCGTTCCGCCCGAGGCTGCCTCCTCGTTGATGACCTGGCTGCGGCACTCACGCGGGCGTGGCCTGCAGCGCCCGAGCAGGGCAGCACGAGGTCGAGAAGGGCTGGGGGGGAGCCCGTCGCCTCCCCGGGCGTCGGTGGAGCTCCCCGTGGGGCCACGAAACGCGCGAGGGGTGTGCCCCGAGGGGCATGCGGAGAGCAGAGGCAGGAGGCAGGGGGGAGGAGGGGGAGGAGGGGAGGAGGTGGGGCGCGGCGCTGCTGATTCAGACAGAAGGGTTGGGAACCAGTGTGATCCATCCCCCTCCCAACAAGAGGCCACGAGGTCTGGAGAAAGCCCGTCGCCTCCTGGAACCGCGGGCCGTCCCCCGTGCCCGCGCACACGAACTCCTCCTGCAGGCGCCCAGCCCAGCCGCGAGAAACACTGCCAGCCGCCGTTGACGGCGCCGTCGCCGTCGACGTCGCAGACGCCGTCGTCGTCGTCGACGTCGTCGACGTGGTCGGCGTGGTCGGCATCGACGTCGTCGGCGACATCCTCGTCCCCAGACCCCGACGTCACGATTTGTTCATCACGTCGACCCCCAGAGGTCTCGACCCATTCAACGGGACCAGCTTTTCATGCTGAGTGATTCTGTTGACGGTCCCGAAGCCTGGTCAGGGCCCCCAGAGGCTGAGAATAGCGAAGGACCTTCCGTCGTGATGTTTTCATGACGCGAGGGGGTCTGGGTCGACGGCGTCCCATCACGACGGCCGTTCTCGCCTCACTTCGAGGCCCGGTGAGTCGAGGAGAGAATCGGCGGGCCCTCTCGCCGCCGCACCTCGTGGCGCGCTGTCACCAGAGCTCCAGCGAGCAAAGTCCAAGCCTCCCGGATGGGGTCCGAGTGGATGGGGCCGAATCTTCGCTCCGCATCGACGATACATCGGCGATGCGGCCCGATGCGGAGCTAGAGTTTCTCCACGCCGATGAGACCGATGCACCGCCGACACCGCCAATGCATCGCCGGTGCATCGACGATGCATTGCCGATGCGGCGCGATCCTCCGACCCCATCAACTCCGACCCCATCTGGGAGGCCTCTACATGAGGTGTGCGCACGCCTGTTGTGGCATAGAGCGCAAAGTCTTGCGGGGTCGCCTCGAAGTCGGGGGGCCCCAGAGGAGGCCCCCAGGAGGCCCCAAAGGAGCCCTAAGAGGCCCCAAGACCCCCGAGTCCTCAAAGCTGCCTCCAGGAGGCCTCCGAGAGGCCTCCTACAAGATCCCAACGAACATCCAAGAGGCCTCCCACACACAACCCAGGCGCGGTGTGGTGGGGTGGGCCGAGGGCCATCAAATCCGCCGCCCCCCGTTGGCTTGCCACAGGGGTTCCTGGCGCCCTAAATTCTGGGAGTTTTCTGGTTCATTTAGAACTCCCCCCGTCGGCTTCGGCCGATGCCGCTGGCGATGAGGAAAATGTGCATGTCAATGCTTGTCTCGCCCATGTTGGTCAGTGGTGCCGTACGCCGTAGCGCGTGGGCGAACGAAGCAACAGAATGCGCACGCTGAAGCATGCGCTTTGCGGTTGCTGCGGCGGCGCGAGCAAAAGAGGATACGACGAAATGTACCATCGGCTATCCAGAGGGAGCGAGAGGGGGATGGGGGAGGAGGAGCAGGAGGGCCAGACGACCAGGTGAGAAGGGTGCAGAACGGTCCAAGATGGCCCAGAATAGCATAGGCGTCTTCGACGATCCCGTGGGGTCCCCTCAGCCAGATCGCTCTGGCACGGGAAGTGCTGCTGGGGAGCGAGGCCCGGGGCTCCCGTCCAGGGCCTCCGACCTCTCCAGGCCTCCAGAAGTCCGAGCCCCGTCCCCCTCCTCCTCCCCTTCCACCTCCTCCTCCTCCTCCTCCTCCTCCTCCTCCTCCTCCCAATCTCCCGCGAGGACTGAAAACATACAGCCAAAGCTGATAGTTAGGATGCGCGATCAGGATGCAAGCCGGTGGCCAGCCTGGGGGGGAAAGAGAGAAGGGGCGGGCCTTCTCAGAAGGCTCGGAAGTCCCCCGGCCTTCTGAAAAGCTTTCCAAGCCCTCCCCCCCCCCGAAGACACCAAAAATTTCTCGGAAGGCCTTCTGAGAAGCCCCGCCACCTTCTGAGGAGGCCTTCTCCTTCTCACTTCCCCTCTTCTCTCGCCGCCAAGCAAGGGCCTTGGACGCCCATGCCGAGGCTCTTCGAGCGACCGAAGACGACCGAAGGGGCAAGGATGAAAAGGCACCCTTGGGAAGTCGCTCATCCTTACTATCAATTTCGACTGTAGGACCTCTGAACGTCGCTTCCATTCAAGGCCGTATTCAGTCCTGATGAGTCTGCAGGTCTGGAGCGCGCTTTTCCAGCACTCTGGGAGGTCAAGGAAGTCCTACCCTCCCAACCCCTTCGAAAGGGGGGTCGGCTCTTCCTCCCAGATCGGTTTTTCGATGGCCCCGGAGCCCGAAGACGCCCCCCAGAGGCCTCCACCTCGACTGTCTCAAGGCGTCGGCTCGGGGAGTCGAGCATCGACCGCAGACCTGTCCAGGGGTGCGTTCTGGCCAGAAATTCGGGGCGGATCCAGCCGTCGTCACGAGGACGCCGCATGAGCACACACACACACACACAAACAAACAAACAAAAAACAGCAGCAAAAAAAGCATCGTCGACTTTGGAACAACAGCAACAACCATAATGATGTCTAATTGAGAACTGTTTGCTATTCGACGAGGGTGGGCCCGAGACTCCCGGAATTAGCTGAACACACCCGAAGACCGCAAGGATCCCCCGAATCACTCCCCAGAAAACCTTCGAGAACCCTTCAAAACCTACGAAGACCTCCTCCTCCTCCTCCTCCTCCTCCTCCCCTCCCACTCCACCGGCCCTCCTACCTCTGGTGCGTCCTCGGGAATCGTGATATCCTCCCACTCTTCCCTGTGCGCGTTCTTTGCCGCGTACTTCACGGAGCAGGCCGCCATGCACGAGTCGATGTCCGAGCTGCACTGGTCCTGGGAGGCGAGGCCACCGCCACCAACCGCCCGCACATCCTATCATTTTTGCCACCAGCGCCTGTGTAGCGGCAGTAGCTCGGCGTGGCGACACCTGGGGGGTGTGAGTCAAGAAATGCGCGCCGCAGCCACCCCTGGAGTCGAGTATCGCAGCGACCTTGCACTGACATCGACGTTGCGAAAACGGCACCGCGCTTTCAACAGATCCCCGGCAAACCGACCCACACCCACATGCGTGTGTACGTTCACACACAAACATACTACTTCCTCCAGCGGCGAAGTGACGACCCCGTCGCGATGCGGAAGCCGCATCACGCTTAGCCAGCTTACCACCTTGTGTAGCAAATGGGTGGACTGCATGGAGGCCGTCGCATGCAAAACAAAAAACGCGAATCCCATATCTCTCTCTCTCTCTCTCTCACAGACACGCACACACACAATTGATGGCGTCGCAGAGACGCGCGCGGCGGCGCGGCGTACGTCAAGTCAAGCGGGAGAGCTCGGGCTGGGCCAGCTCACGCAGCGTGGGGAAGCTGGATCCACCCATTGTGGATCGACAGCAGAACTCGCGAGGGGGCAGTCGCGAGGGGAGTGCGAAAGGGGGGAAGGGGGAGAACGAGGGGAAAACGAGGACAGGAAGAAGCAGTGCGACAGTGACGAACCGAGGCAGCAAGCGAAACGCAGCAGGAGTGCGACAATGTCAGCCGACCAGGAAGGAGAACCAATGCAGCGTGCGGAATTCCAGGCCAGCCAAGGGGGGGCCCAGGGGGAAACGAGAAGGACAGCAGGAAACAGCCAGAAGGACAAGGAAGGGGTAAAGGCAACAGCGGCGCCCGAGGTGGTAAATCGAGAAGGCAAAGACCGATCCCAGAGGCGAGGGACTAGACACGGGCTGCCTCCCCAGGAGCGCGCGACAGCGCGGGCGGGGGACCGTAGCCGAGAGGAGCGGTCAGGGCTGGGGGCGGGCGGCGCCTGTGGGAGCTGGAAGCAGTGCTGGGACGATTCCATTGGGAATGGAAGTGCGGAACTCCTGAAGGAAAGCGGCGGTACACAGTTCGGGGTCCACGTCACCTACCTGTACAAATATTTCTTATATATACACGTATATGAATATATAACATATATATGAAGTTGTTCACAAACATACAGATCTATACCCATACATGAGAGATAAAGGAAGATATGAAGAAAGAAAGGAAGGAAGAAAGAAAGAAAGAAAGGAAGAGAGGAAGGAAGAAGTAAAGAAAGAATGGAAGAGACGCCCACGCAGCGCCAGCCCAGAGCGCCAGCGCCAGAGCGAAGCTGCCCCCCCCCCTCCCCGCCCCTCCAGAAAGGGGGCGGGGACGTAGCTCCCCCCCCCCCTCTTGAAACCCCCTGCCAGAAGCCCCCCACCCACTCCCCCTGTTTCTTCCTCTCTAGGGAACAACCCACCCACTCCTTTTCGCGCTCCAGAAGCTACCCTCCCCTCCCCTCCCCCCCCTTCCAACTGGGGAGGGGAGGCTTAGCCACCCCCGCTCCCGCTTTGGAAGCCCCCCCCCTCCCCCCTTGTTCCCTCCTTTTACACCCTCCTCCTCCTCCTCCTCCTCCTCCTCCCCCTCCTCCTCCTCCTCCTCCTCCTCCCCCTCTTCTTCTTATGTGTCTTCCGGGTGCTCTCCTTATTATCGGCATTAGTGCTAGCATGCTTCTTCTTATGATGAATAGTAATAGTAATGTTATTAGTTTTACCATTATGGTATTACCCTTACTAATGGGATTCGTATGGTTCATAGTATTATCAGTAGCACTGGTATTCTTAATAATAGTAATAACAATAATAACATTAATGTCAGTAATGTTAATATTATCATTAGTATTACAATTCATAGTCGCGTTCTTCTCAGTGTGATCATTCGTTGTGCGCGTATCCGTAGTATCAGTCTTGCTATTACTGCTGGCCGTAAGACTAGTATGATGAGTTGTATTATTCTGGGTATTCAGAATACGATTCGAGTTAGTATTCGTACCTTTCTTCTTACTTGTATACTTGTCCGTGTTACTAGTAATAGTAGTCTTCTTGACAGTATTATTAGTGATCCTCCTCCTCCATATTCCTCCTGCTCCGCCTCCTCCCGCTCCTCCTCCTCCTCCTCCTCCTCCTCCTCCTCCTGCTCCTCCTACTCCTCCTCCTCCTCCCGCTCCTCCTCCTCCTCCTCCTCCTGCTCCTCCTCCTCCTCCTCGCCCTCATCCTCCTCCTCCTCCTCCTCCTCCTTCTCCTCATTATCATCATTCTCATCATCATCATCATCATCATCATCATCATCATCATCATCATCATCATCATCATCATCATCATCATCATCATCATCATCATCAGCATCATCATCATCATCATCATCATCATCATCATCATCATCATCAGCAGCAGCATCAGCATCAGCATCATCATCATCATCATCATCATCAGCAGCAGCATCATCATCAGCATCATCATCAGCATCATCATCATCACATCATCATCATCATCATCGTCATCAGCATCATCATCATCAGCAGCATCATCATCATCATCATCATCATCATCATCAGCATCATCATCATCATCATCATCATCATCATCATCATCATCATCATCATCATCATCATCCGCAACATCAGCATCAACATCATCAGCAGCAGCATCATCAGCATCACCATCGTCAACATCATCATGATCATCATCATCATCATCATCATCATCATCATCAGCATTATCATCATCAACATCGTCATCGTCATCATCAGCATCATCGTTAGCAGCAGCATCATCATCCCCATCATCATCAACCTCATCATCATCAGCAACAACACCATCATCATCATCAGCATCATTGCCGCATCATCATCATCAGCATCATCAGCATCATCATCATAATCATCATCACCATCAGCATCATCAGCATCATCATCATCATCACCATCATCCTCATCATCCGCATCATCATCATCATAATCCTCACCACCATCATCACCATCATCATCATCAGCAGCATCAGCATCATCATCCTCGGCCTCGTCCTCGTCCTCCTCATCCTTCTCCTCCTCCATAATCCTAGTATTCCTAGTCTCGTCATCGTCCTCCTCCTCCTCCTGCTCCAGCTCCTGCGCCTGCTCCTCCTCCTCCTCCTCCTCCTCCTCCTCCTCCTCCTCTCCCTCCTCCTCCACCTGCTCCTGCTCCTGCTCCTCCTCCTCGTCCTCATCATCATCATCATCATCCTCCGCCTCCTCCTCCTCCTGCTCCTCCTCCTCCTCTTCGTCCTCCCCCTCCTCCTCCCCCTCCTCCTCCTCATCGTCCTCGTCCTCGTCCTCGTCCTCCTCCTCCTTCTCCTCCTCCTCCTCCTCCTACTCCTCCTCCTCCTCCGCCTCCCCTCCTCCTCCTCCTCCTCATGCTCCTGCTCCCGCTCCTGCTCATGCATCTGTTCCTGCTCCTTCTCCTCCTCCTCCTCCTCCTCTTCCTCCTCCTCCTCCCCCTCCTCCTCCTCCTTCTCCTCCTCCTCCTCCGCCCCCCTCTGCACTCCTCTGCCCTCCTCTGCCCTCTTCTGCCCTCCTCAGCCCTCCTCCGCCTCCTCCTCCTCCTCATCTTCATCATGTTGCTCATCATCCTCCCCCTCGTCCTCGCCCTCGCCCTCCTCCTCCGTCTCCCCTTCCTCCTCGTCCTGCTCCTGCTCCCTCTCCTCCTCCTCATATCCCCCCCCCCGTCGTATTATTCATATCCCTGTTCCTCCTTCCTCTTCGCGGCAGCAGCAGCATGAGCACCCGCAGCAACACAAATAACAACACACCAATCGCAACAACAACACCAACAACAACAACAACAACGACAACAACAACTACGACTACAATAACAACAACAACCACGACAACAACAACAACAACAACAACAATCATTTCAGACTGGGGACACTCCGTTCTCACCAGTGCCAGGGTTTTCATAGGAGGCGGGCAATACCCCCACTTTGTGGGGGGGACGGTTCAAGCTCTACCTAATTTCCAAACGACTCTTCGCCACCACCCACACCCAGCTTCCCGCCCTATGACGTTCGGACACTTCACTTCGTGGCATGCGGACGACCGTGGCTACTATTCAGGGCCCCGCGGCCGACGACGACGGCGTGCGCGCGCGAAGAAAAAACGAATGTGTCCCGCATGGTATTATTTGACAGGGATGATGGCCCTGGCAGGTGCGCAACCGTTGTCGCAGAAGTTCGAAAAAGTTGCTCGCAAAAGCCCGTTTGACAGAAATGTTTAAAAAGTGTTGGGTTTCCTACGAATCCGCAAGAGCGCGCGGGATGAGATTTTGACATTTTTTTGTTGAAAAACCATTGGTTTTTTGATGTTTTTATGTTAAAATCGCTTCCGAACACTAAGCTTTTGGAAGGATTTCGTCTTGCGCGCGCGAATGTCCACTTTACCTTATTTTTTGCAAGGGATTCTTGAAATTTGATTATATTAGAACAAGAAATGTCATTTTATAGTGTTTTTTGCAAGGGAAAACGGATTACAACAAAACAACCGGATCTTGATGACATCGTATTACCTGAGGCTTCCTCACGAAAATGATGAAAATGTAGCTGCGACCTAGGCGGCGCAGGGGGGCCGTGCACCAGGGGTCCCAACAATAATTATTCTTTAGAATTAATAATGTTCAACAACAACAACAACAACACCAACAACAACAACAACAACAACCCCAACAACAACAACAACAACAACCTCAACCGCAACATCATCATCATCATCAACAACAACAGCAACGACGACGACGACGATGCCAACAACAACGACGACGACCACAACAACAGCCACAGCAACAGCAGCAACAACAACCCACACCAACAACAAGAACAACAACAACGACAACCACAACAACAGCGGCAACAGCCTCATCATCATCGTCGTCAGTATCGTCACCACCGTCACCACCACCACCACATCCACCACCCTCATCAGCATCGTCATCATCATCAGCAGCATCAGCA